GCTGGCCGGAGTGAAAGCAAGCTGGCTTCTCGCTGGAACGACAGGCTGACAGCCACGTCTTGGAGTAGGGTCATTAGTGTGCCCTGCCATCAATGTCATGTTACTGTGTCAAATTAGTTAGTGTCCCCTTAGGAGAGAAGCCGGACCTACAAATTATCCTCCCACATCCTGGAGACTGTGTTTGCGAAACCTGCGATCAAGTGTGAGCAAATTATTAACACGGCTCATAAATTGACTAGTTTACAGGCTTATAACGTTTTACAAGTAGATAATAAAGGGGAGAAAAGTTTTCCAGCGGCTTTGCCCTGATTCGAGGGCTGTGATCTGTCGACTTTTCCTTACGGACTCCCCAGCTGATAGTTTTTTTTTTTGTTAAGAGGAACAGACACATGGGGTGTCAGAACAAATGTTTGGAAATGTAGATTCTAAAAGGAAGCAAGGGTAGATCCATTGAAAACAATATAATTAACTTCGTTATCTCGTTGCTCTGATAAGTCCGTGACAATGTCCTCTTTCTTGTACTGGCAGTTGCTCTTTAATGAGTTCACCAATTAAGTTTGAACAATTACAGCTTTGGCCAACCGAAATTATCTGTAAAAATATTTTTGATGCTTTCTTATCATATCCTTAAGCTGCCTTATTTAAGAGGAATAATGCTAAAACAGCACATTAAACTCATGAAAGGATGACGATTCTGAAGCAATGATACATGTGTCTGGCAGTGTATGCACACCCGAGAGTGGATACCTAGAAAACAGACAGTGGGCAAATCGGGCTTGAATATGTCTTTTATGGAGAAGAGATGACACCCCCAGGGACACCATCTCTTAACTCTCTTCTGAGTTCTTGTAGACAGACAACCCACATGGTTTCCGGAGATACTTGACTATTCAAATCATAAAACTTCGTACATCTCCTTTTCAGTTTCAACTTCTCTGTCTGATTAGGTTAGAAAACCTAAAATCAGAGAGCAATGCCTTTTGAAGGAGTATGACACAAACACACACATGCACATGGACATACACACACACACACAGCAGAGCTCGTGCTGTTTGCTGTGTAGTTCGCGGTCCCGTACTAGTGAGACAGAATCCCTTCTGTGACCCAGATGGCCAGATAGGTGGCATTATCATCTCACGGATCCATGCAGAGATGACCTGGCATGTGAAATCTTGCTACTGCCAGCTATTTGCAAAACTTTCTGGAAGTGCGTAAGGATGAGTTGACTTAACTGTCTGTTACTTCAACTTACCTGGAATTGCATTGAGTAAGTATCATGCTGGTAACCCAGCTAAGCCACAAAAGCTCCCAGGCCTCAGCACAGGTACCCTCTGGGTGTTTCTAGGAGGAGGCTGTGCCACAGCCTCCTCTGCATTTGAAATACAGCGGAAAGAGCACGTGCTAACTGTGACAAGTGACATTTGGTGTTTGGCTGGCCCGACGGAGCTTGTCTGCTTCTTAGGGGTGTGTGTGTATTAATTCCCCCCTGTTACTTCTACTAGATGCCTTGGCAGAGGCTAAAAGACCAAAACCCAAAGCAAAGTCATCATTTGAACTCATGAATCTTTTTTGACCACGTTTCTTAGCATGTGATGGCATTATTCTTATCCTAAGAAATTATGGAAGTTCAAGGAGACAGATTTCTGCAGTGAGCATCAGTACCTTCGAGAGTGGCAATTTGGGGCCAATTGGTGGCATGGTAATTAAGGTGGCAGAATTCCACATAGTTGACTGCGTGGAACTGCTGGGTGTATGTGTGTGCATGCATAAAATTCCAAAAGAGGGGTGTCTCTCTCTCTCTTTCCCTTTAATGGCACCTTTGGGACCAGAAAATGGTATAATGGTTATGTTGCTGGACTCCCACATAGTTGAATACAGTTTGAGTCACAGACCTGACAGCTTAAAACTCAGGCTGAGAAGGGGTTGCAGTGTGGCCATCCTCCCTGGGGATGATTTCTCACTTTCTCTCTGGCCAGTGCATACACCCTATAGCAAAAAATCTCTCTCTCTTAAAAACAAAACAAAACAAAACAAAACCCTTTACTTAGCTATACACATTTTTTTGCATTCTGCTGTAATTCTATAATATTGAAGTCAGTTTGTGAGCTATGTTGAACTGAAAGGAAAGGACAAGCGGATGTAAGTTATGTGAATATTGGAGATAAACGTAGTGTGTAATTAAGGAATGCCAGGGCTCACGTGTCTGTGTTACTTTATTTTATGATACGGAGTGTGTGTGCGCACCTGGGCAGGGTCTCATCTCTCTGTGATCCCCTCTCCACCCTCCTCCAGTGTCTCAGAGTCATGGGCACCTGCACACACAGTAGGTGTGTTGCTGAGGCCAACCTGGGGTCCGAACCACGGTCGCCATGGTGCTTCCAGCCCCGTAGGGCACTAGTGTTGCTGCCACAGGGGCTGGATCTTTGATGGTTTTCAAGCATCATGCTTTGCTCCTTTAACCTCTTCTTTTCTTTTTGCTTCCAGTACCCCTGTGTGTGTTGCAGTCCTGTGGCATTATGCATGCCCCCTACCAGTGACCCCAGGCTTTTTATGGCTGTGAGACACATTAAAAGTTCAGGGTAAGTGGCAAGCATTGATATTACGTACCACCTAAAAATTGCTATCCACCTTTGCAGGTGCAGCAGTGGACGTGGTAATCCCACGGAAGGTAATGGACTGTCTCGTTATCAGGCACGAATTCCAAAGCGAGCAGGCACATGTATGTTGCTACTCTCAATCACACTTCTCGGTTTTCCAGAATAGGCTGCATAACTTGGACCATATTTGTGGAAAAGTAACATAATACAGGGGTTGGTAAACATCCGTGAAGGGCCAGGTGGTAAATACCATTATCCTGGCTGACCCTTCAGTCTCTATTGCACCCAGCCAACTTCTGTATAACACAGAAGTAGCAGAGACGGTATATAAACCAATGGCGTAACTATTCCAAGGAAAGTGTATTTCAGACACCAGCCATGAGCTACATGTGGCCTGAGGACTTTAAGCCTCCTAATCTCTGATGCATCAAAAGGGAGACACAGGACGTTAAGCCCGATACCTGACTGCATCTCAGTCTCTCTGACCTTGTATGAACCATGTATCTGGAAGAAACAGGAATAAAAAACACCTGCCCATGCTACCTTGTAGGATGTAGTTATGAGGGCGATACAAGATCTACTGCATGTGAAAGCACGTCGAACGTTTCGAAACTCCTTACAAAGGTGATGAATGGCCTTACACAGTCATCCGGTTCACCTAGAGGAGGGTGCCTTCTTCACCTTTTTAATCACATTGGGCTTTCATGACCTAAATGAGTGTGGGGGGAAGCTCTTGTATTTTCTGAGTAATGTGGTTTGTCTGTACGTTCTTTCTTTTCTTACAGTTGATAGACAAGCTGTTGAAACGTCTTTTTAGTATCAAATATGGATGAGGGAATACACGGGTAGATTATGGCAGGGTAAAGATCAAATGCCAATGAAGAACGATTAAATTTCCTTTAATCATCAGAATCCGAGTGTGCTGTAAGATCTTCCACCTTTAATATAGGCCTTAATAAATAATAATGCTTTGGATGTCTACACGTATGTTTGAATTTCACAAGTCTTGCATGTCAAAACATAGAGACAGGCTCAGCAAATATGCTTCCCTGGCCTAGCCGTACTAATTAAGAAGGAAAGTCATACTTAAACAAACAGCTTTGGGAATAAGGGGTAATCAGAATCCCAATTCATGAATTTTCTAGTTTTTTTTTTTTTCCCCACACAAAAACTTAGTATAGTCTTTAGACATGTTTTGATATCATTACATTAGTTAAACGTTATTTTATGGTAATAGAGATGCAGCTATTAAAGTATAAAGAATTTATTTGTGTTCTCTTTTATAAAAGATATCTGGGGAGAGCAGTTGGTGCCTTCTGTATTTCTACTCCACCTGTTCGAGTGTGTCATCTCATCCTCATGGTCTCATTCTGGCTGCTGGTTCTCCAGCCATTGCTTCTACATCCTGAAAGGAAGAGGTGGAAATGTATGTGAGAAAAAAAGCAGTCCTCTCAGCTGAGGCAGGTCCCTTTAAAGAGCTTCCCCTGAGACTTTCATCAGTGATTTCTCCATATATCCTATTAGTCACCCCTAACTACAAGGGCATCTGGGGAATGCATCCTTAGACTTGAGCAATTTAGTGTCCCAGATTCATTCTGGGTTCTATTACTAAGGAAGAAAAGATGAATGGTTGCTGAGCAACAATGGCGATGACTTACACAAAATCACAATATCAATTTTTCTTACATAGTTAATTTTTATTTATTTTCAATGAATGCTGTCTGCCTTCTGTTGACTTGTGTCTTGTTTGAATTGTATGTGTTAGAATTTCAGCCTGTTCCGTTCTTAGCAGAGATCTATATCTCAGTAAATATTTTAAGATCATAAAATTCTCACTGAAAAGTGCCATGGCAAGTCTAAAAAATATAGTTCTTTCTCAAGACATCTGTAAACCAAAATCTGAGCTCCCAAATATGCTTCTGGGTTTTCTGTGTGTATGTACTTTTTTGAGACTCGAGGACCCACATGAGGTCCTACTGACCTGTAGGCAGACACCCAAGTCCCTTCTCCCCACTGTGTGCAGAGGGGCAGTGCTGACAGCTTTGCATCAACCCTCTGTTCTTATGTAGACTCAGAGACAGGACTTTGCTCTCCACCCTCCATCTCTGGTTTGCTACTTCCCATGTCTCTGCTGAAAACTTTAACCTTTGGGATGGGGTACAATTGGACAGATGAGCCACTATTGTCCAGATATTCTGTAGTCCATTGGCCAGTAACTTTATTCTTGTGAATGTTTTCAACTCCTTCAATGTGTCAAGTGAAACATCCCTGTGCCTCGTAATACGGTCTCTGCCTGTACTGGCCTGTGATGGGTGTTCCTGAGACCGACGGTGCGATGCTTTTGCAAACATTCACCGAATACCTGCTGTGGATACGGCAGCATTATTACAAGGGTCTGCTTTGAACTTCTTTGGTCATTGCGAAGGTCATGATGTATTTTCCTTTTTTCTGCATAGACACGAGCATGACTTCCCGGACAACCCAATAGATTGACTTAAATTCAAACTCTGTCTTCTTGACTTAGTGGCTGAGCAGCCCTGGCAAAGTTACTTCGTCGTTCTGGGCCACAGCTTCCTCAACTGGGAAAAGAGGATAAAAATAGGAGCTAGTTCACTCTGCAGAGCGGGTGAGCTAGTGCTTGTGCAGAGCTGCTTTGCACAGATTCTGGTGTGTAGACGTGCCAGCAGGGCTCTGGGCAGCCCAGGTGACATGGCGGACTTCACTGTTGGGAGAGTTTTCATTCCCCCATGCTGGTTCGTGGGTGTAGTTTTACTGGCAGGTGACGTGTTTTTCACAGTGCATTGTTTGTACGTGCAAGTAGGGCCTTGGAGGTGGCCCTGATGCCTACCTCCAAAGGCCCCTGAGGCATATGCACAACTGGACAGTCCCCCTACCAGGGATCATTTAGATCTCTGCGTCCCCTTTGATAGTTGCCCCTGAGAGATGTGCAATTCTTTTTTTAAATTCCTTTTATTTTACTTACTCAGACAATGGGGCTGCCTCGCAAGCAGAATTCACTAACTGCTTTCAAGTTGGTATTGCTGATGATAATCTGAAACTGTCGGGTTTCGCTCGTGCAGGCTGAATGCTACACGATGGCGATCTTCTCCTCCCTCACCCCCCGTCCCTGCCTCCTCGCTGACGCTGCAGAGCAGGTCCTGATCGCCCCACAGACCTTCTTGGTGATGGCCCTCTAAGAACGGTGACACCCACACACATATCTGCCACATGACTGTGGCAAAGATAGTCGGCGGTGCTCATGGTCAGCCCGCTTGGTGATGTGTCCCAGGGGTGAGAAGCTGCCGCAATCAATGGCCCTGGCTTTCTACTGAGTTTTGGGAAGTCTGGGATGAGGGGGGGAGTTGCCACCAGTGCTAAGGAGGCTGCATCTCTAAATCCATTAACAGTGACCCTGTTTCCCAGTGTTGGTGGTCCCGGGGACCCTGGCCCCAGCTTTTCTGAATATCGTCCAGCGTCTGCCTGTCAAAGGCTTGGCTTTCATCATGTTCACTCTGTAGAGACCATGACTTGAAGATCTTGCTCTTGGAAACGTTGAGCTTTCAGTGTGCGGTTTCTAGTACTTTATCTAAACACTGTTACTACACTAGATTGCCACGGCATCTCCCTCGCCTCTGACCGTGGTACTCTGCTTTGAGTAACGTCTGTGCTTTCCAGGGCTCATTCTCATCCCTCAGTGCTCAGTCTGAGTATCAACTCCTTGGCAATGCCTTGCTCATCATTCCCTTAAAAGAAATACCCCCAGTTGTTTTGTTTTGTTTTGTTTTAATTTGCTAGAGGGCATGTGCTCTAATGAGACAGAGAAAGAGAGGTGGGGGAGAGAGAGAGGGAGAAATCACCTCTCAGTGGGGCATGGTCACACTGCAATCCTTCTGCTCTGTTTCTACATCCTGTTGAGATTTTGAGCATGCGCACACATAACACCAGTATGTTTTCAGGCCACTTAGGCATGGATTCGAACTGCATGGTCAGCCATGTGGAATCTGACTTCCTTAACCACTAAGCCACTGGCTCAACCTCCCCTCCTTGTTCTGTCTTCCAGTGCTTCTTTTTTTTTTTTTTCTTTTTGCTATAGGGCATGTGGGCTCTCCAGAAAGAGAGAGAGATGAGAGACAGAAAGGGAGAAATCACCTCCTGGGGGGATGGCCATGCTGCAATCCCTTCTCCTCCATTCTCCTCTTGGTATCTTGAGCACGCACACGCTTGCACCCTGCGTGAGTTTAAGCCACCAGGTCCAGGACTCAAAACGCCATTGACTACATGGAAGTCCAGCAACATAGCTATTACTCCAACTGCTGGTCCCTCTAGTGCTTTTTCATTACAGAGTACGTGCATGTGCACTCACATATGCCTATAATAGAAGTACCCTTGACAAGGTCTCATCGCAGAGAGAGCCCCTTACTCCAGCCCTCCCAACTCCTTAGGATCCTGGGTGCTACACTTGGTATGTTTGCAAGCCAGCTTGGGGACCCAAGCCCACCATCAGCCAGATCTTTCAGTCTTCCAAGGCCCTTGCACTGATCGTTGCACTGAGTCTCCTGTTTGCTCTGTGTCTCGTCGTTCTGTCACTGTATTGCAGGTCAGTTACTGTTTATCAGGTGAGGGGCAAGGCAGGGCTGTCTGATTTAGAGTGGCTTCTCCATGGCTCCCAGGGCCCAGCATGTGGCAGGCATGCATAGTCAGTGCTTGTGAATTCCTTGGCTCATTTGGAGATTTCTCTGTGCATGTCCTTACTTAAGAGGACTGCGGCAGGGTGGGGGAGTAAGAGAAGAAATAAAGCTCCACACTTGATTGTAGAAACAGAACTCTGCCCTTGGGTTTTCCCTGGAGCATGTCTACTGTACGTGCATGAGCTGTTGATACTCTGTGTGCCCCATCCAGAGGGATTATACACACATCATCTAACCCATGAAAACACAATCGTTTTCCATTTGGGCCTAAAGCATATTATGGGGTAGTGCTGA